AAAGATATATACCCCATAAAAATGGCAGCAGGGCTGACTTATAAAACTGAAATAAATTCTGACTTTTTGAAATGTATATCATCACATATCGGCCAGCTTTTCCCGGTTTTTTTCTGCTTTGGTATTCGGATGCCGTAAGGTTTAGATGTGCTTTATTTCTTTGACGGTCATCTTTCGGCAAAGTCGAGACTCTCTATCAGGGAAAATATTTTGGTTTTCTTCCAGAATATTTACGGAGTGTCTACAGCATTGAAACGAGATAAAGTCTCGCGATGTATCATGCGATACGAGATCTGATACGTCCCGTCGACGTCACACTGTACTCCATCAAGTCTGATACGAAACTAAAACATAACATCACGCTATCCCATAAAAGGGGCAACAGGCAGAGCGGCTGCTTGCCTAACTCATGTTCTACTTGCTAGTATAAACACAGGCTATTTTTATTTGATCAAATCGTACATCATTAAAATGCCTGTCGCCCTTATTACGCATGCTGTCTTTTTCACTTGGCGGGATTAGGGTATATGCCGTTAAAAATTCTTTGTGTGCCATTTTGAAAAATAAAGAACACAAAAACGAAATTCACAGTAACAGATCTATGTAAGTTTAACTTAACTAATCACAACGTAGACATTTTAACATAACCTGTTTGATGACAAATGAATTCGAGTTTTTATTTCCGAAAATAACCGACAAAGGCCGATTGAGTACGTATGACGTGTTCATGGCGTTATACAATGTACATGTCGTAAGACAATATCTGAACGAAGTTCCATGCGTGGCATTTTATGTGATGATTTTTTTCCCCACAAAATGTATGTGATTTTTTTTTATCAAAATCTGATAAAATATATAGATGTAAGTGTATTCTCCTCATCACTGCTACTTCGGGGCGAAAACTAAATAAGGGCAACATTAAGCAAAGGAACTAACTCTTTACGCACGCATGTGTTACCGTTACAGAGCTTCGCTCGAGACCCTTCGGCCATATATTTTGTTTTCCTTCCAAGAATAGTGTGAATACTCGAAGGCCATTCTTCTACTGCTATTCAAATCTCTTTTATTCCACGATTATTTGTTAAGTACAAATAAATGAACACATAGACAAGCGGTGGTGTTATCAAGGTCTAACACTTTACTTGGACAATTATTTACCCGTTAGCATGATGCAGTGGATAGCATACTCGCCTTTTACTGTTATAAAATACACAAACACTGATAGAATTATTTAAAGTCCCCGTTTAAAGGTCAGATAGAGTTTGCCCCCGGCGTCAAGAGTTGAACCCCTGCCCACCAGCACACAGACATATAATCAATTACTTTAACTAATAAAGTTTGGTGTATGTGCCTACACTGCGCGATTTGATGAAGCGTTTACAGCTCATGCTTCATGTTAAAGCTGACGTTTCTAATATATCCCGGAAAACTCAGCTGTGATTGATCTATTTAACATCTTTATCATAAAATGTTAATACCTTTATCAAAATCCACATAAACTAAATATGTTTAAACTAATTATACTACTGGACTTCCGTTATATGAATCATATCAGAAACCTAAGGTGTTGTGTACTTACTACACACAACGATACGTTTCACCAAAATTTCAATAAAATTAGCTCAATAAGCGCCTGTATACCGCAATTTTGGAATGCTCATACACGATCGCAGACATCGCTTGTATGTTTTGACACGAGACAAGTAATTGAAAGTAGCGGTCAAGTAAACTGACCTTTACCGCCCATCCTTAGCATCCCATTCCGCCGCGATGTTACAGAAAAATGTCCCGAATGTGAATAAGCCTGGATGAGAGCGTGTTTTGCTGGACTGAGTGGCACAGGGGAGGGAAGATGTAGTATCAGACAAAGATAAGGTCCTGATTACAGTACAGGGGCCATGCTTAGCTTACATGTTCTCTAATTGCGAACGACAGTAGTTTGCAGCAGAACGCCAGAAACTGACCTTCGGATAACCTTGTGTATACTATACCCCGCTTCAGCTTAGGAGGGATACAAGAGCGTAGTTTTGCGATGTATTTACATGTGTTTGTTCGTGTATCTTATACAATGCGATACCATCACATTTTAATGTACGTTTTTTGCCCCATAGTCAACCAGACGGGCCCCCTACTGCTCTAATCATAGAAAACCATCAACACATATCTTCTGAAAGATGATATAGATGTCAACGCGTATTTCCTTGGGGTCCGATATAGAAACCGGTAGTAGCAGTTGTTGGAATTAACCTCATTCCGGACAAATGATCCCTTCCGACTCTGTTAATAGCATGACCCCTCCGGCATTACGTCTGTCTTCCTTGTTTTACAATCCTCGCCTGCTAACTTGGACACGTTTATAATGAGGAATTAAGATAGATATTAAACAAAAACAGGAACTGAGGAGACACCAAAACGAAAGGAGAGAGAACAATAGGAAATGAAAAGACACCAAAACGAAAAGAAAGACAACAACAGGAACAGAGGAGACACCAAGTCAAATAGAAAGAAAGACAGCAACAGGAACAGAGGAGACACCAAGTCAAATAGAAAGAAAGACAGCAACAGGAACAGAGGAGACACCAAGTCAAATAGAAAGAAAGACAGCAACAGGAACAGAGGAGACACCAAGTCAAATAGAAAGAAAGACAGCAACAGGAACAGAGGAGACACCAAGTCAAATAGAAAGAAAGACAGCAACAGGAACAGAGGAGACACCAAGTCAAATAGAAAGAAAGACAGCAACAGGAACAGAGGAGACACCAAGTCAAATAGAAAGAAAGACAGCAACAGGAACAGAGGAGACACCAAGTCAAATAGAAAGAAAGACAGCAACAGGAACAGAGGAGACACCAAGTCAAATAGAAAGAAAGACAGCAACAGGAACAGAGGAGACACCAAGTCAAATAGAAAGAAAGACAGCAACAGAAACAGAGGAGACACCAAGTCAAATAGAAAGAAAGACAGCAACAGAAACAGAGGAGACACCAAGTCAAATAGAAAGAAAGACAGCAACAGAAACAGAGGAGACACCAAGTCAAATAGAAAGAAAGACAGCAACAGAAACAGAGGAGACACCAAGTCAAATAGAAAGAAAGACAGCAACAGAAACAGAGGAGACACCAAGTCAAATAGAAAGAAAGACAGCAACAGAAACAGAGGAGACACCAAGTCAAATAGAAAGAAAGACAGCAACAGAAACAGAGGAGACACCAAGTCAAATAGAAAGAAAGACAGCAACAGAAACAGAGGAGACACCAAGTCAAATAGAAAGAAAGACAGCAACAGAAACAGAGGAGACACCAAGACAAAAGAAAAGACAACAGCAGGAAGGGTAAGCGTTTCTTGCAAGTGGGACCTGCCATTCTGTTTCCTGTCGAATCAAGGAGATTATGCCAGTCACCAGCACCAAGACAACAAGAGCCGTAGAGTTTACCTCAGTGTGTCATCTGCAAACTAAAAATGCACTATTCTTACATTTACTTCTGAATTTTAAAACCTTTAAATGGGTAATAAGATTGTTATATATATCTGTTAGAATGTGAAAAGCTTTTAAAAGAAATGCCGTGATTATAATTCGCTTCCAATTATATATAACTGACAACTAAAATTTGGTTATTTGTAGCCGTATATTCACAGCATGGAGTGTCACCCTACGTTATGGTACAATGGTAGGTCATATGTGATACAATTTCATTCGAGGACTGTTATCTATATTGTTACATTTCCTTGTAATCCTTACTGTTCTTAAATATTAAATATTAACACCGGTAACATTTCCTCTGTTTCACTTTTGACGTTACCACCGATAACTATACTCTTCTCTAATATGACCAAGCTGATGGTGATTTTTGATGTCTCCTACATAAAACAGTGTATCAAATGAGTTGGATAAACCACATAAAGTCAGATTAACAGCATGGTGCCGTCTCAGAACTAACTTAACTTGCAGTGATAATATCAAGACGAAACTTAAGGTGTTCCGGTTAACTCATTTAAATGAGGAGACTCGAACGGTTCGATAATGTTTGTGTTTTATAAAGATTCTGTTAAGATGCCGATATAGTAATTTAAGTTGACCCGATGCCAGGGATCGAATCCGCGCTGGAATCGAATAATTTTTGAACGCAGATTTATATACGTAGGCGCTTATGGACTTTATTCTGAAGAAAAAAAAGTTTTTTACGAAAATTCTCCTTTATTCATAATATTTAAAGAAGTATGTTGCTTTGACTTCCCACGTATGCATACGATGAGGCATATACTGTGATAAAGGCTTCTCCTGGAGTTACCCGGGAACTCTTTATCGACATCTGGCTAGTGCACATAGGGTATAATAGTATTGTACTGAGGTCAAGGCTGCCGTTGAGTATGATTTGTTTGTCTACATTGTACCTGTACCATCCCATGAGCATCGTAGCTGTCATTTTGGGTACCGCTATTGTTTTCTTGCTTTCAAAGCACCTGTCTTTCATGTCTTTGACACTCAGGTCAAGGTCATCTAAGAGTAGCTACACCACTCCAAGCTGCATGAGAGAGACTAGGTCTCGTGCGGCCCAGTATATATAGTGACACGTATGAGTGTATCAGAGAGATGCAGATCTCCCAGTCTCCTTGCCTGTTTATCCTGACGGTTATATTACTGACGTTTAAGCCGCCAGAACGGAACACAAAGAAAATACGCAGCGTCTTTTGTTCTCTAACGTAACCCCGTGATATTTATTTAGCTTGATATTAAGCTACAGCGATTGTCCAGTCAGCTGTTCGGTTTCATGGCATACGTGTTTAGAAAACGGGCTATGGAAGTCGATTCCTGACGATTTCTTGGTTTTTAGAAAGAAGCTGAATTTGTTAACGAGTTGTTAAAAGCTTAAATATCTATGATGAGGTAAGCGGTTATATATATGAGTCGTGTTTTAATTGGTATCAGTTCTGGGGTTTCCGAAGATACCAAAGGTAGTTATCTGGATACATCTATAAATTATAGCCGAGTGTCTGTTTGGCGGTGACATTTCGACACTGACATTTACATACGTTTACGAACATATACAACGCCATACAAACTTAAGCTAGTTAGACCTCTTATCTACGGGACGTAAAGGTCCGCCCGGCAGTGTAATACAGGACTACCGGTTTCTGATGAATTGTGCCAAACCCAGAATCTTTGCTAGTAACAAAATATCCAACTCATGATAACCTTTATTTACACTGCGCGGAGAAAACGTAGTAGCCGACTTTTAAAGTGATATGAGCAGACCTTGTTAGCCTCTGTATTATTGTAATTCGTTACAAAGTAGGAAATCCCGGCCTGTCTAAGATAGATGCTGAATAGGTGAGGGNTAACGGCTTCCACTAAAAGATGCAGTCTGTGAGAAGTTGTCCACTTTTGTTGGTGGTTTCGACTGAATAGGTGAGGGCCCGGGGTGACTAGGTATGTCTCGGAACACTACAGACGATAACGGCTTCCACTAAAAGATGCAGTCTGTGAGAAGTTGTCCACTTTTGTTGGTGGTTTCGACTGAATAGGTGAGGGCCCGGGGTGACTAGGTATGTCTCGGAACACTACAGACGATAACGGCTTCCACTAAAAGATGCAGTCTGTGAGAAGTTGTCCACTTTTGTTGGTGGTTTCGACTGAAATACTGTAACTATGTTACTTGGATACCAGGTATATATTTCATATCACTTCGACTGGCCAATCACAATCGTTTCAATCATACAGTTCTTTGCTTATTGTTTTATGACATTCTTTCATTGCCTCCTTGAATTAAAATGTCTTATATATCCTTTGGCTTTTTGAACAACTGTGCAGTTAAAATGATACATGTATGATTGCAGACATGTTGACAAATCAAGACTAATAGTTTTCAATTCAGCGTCCGTGTTTTCTTTATAAGTGGTCAAACGTGTTCCAAAATTCGAAAGTATTAAAATTAATTTTAGTGCACTGCTTTAGTAAAAGTATGTAATCTCACTAGGAACTGTCTTAATTCTAAAATCGGTGAAGAAGATGATATTTCGATTTTAACCATTGTCGACATCCAAGGTTTTCGTTCGTGACATACATCTGTTCTCTTCAGAGTCTTCGATTTCGTCCAAGGGTACAGAGGCGGTAACTCGTGTATCGAAAGCAGCACCATTACACTTACGGAGATTAAAGGTATCTGTATTCAGTAAATAAGTACTAAGATTTGAAGCAGGAATGCTGCATGCAAATATGCATATTGTTTAAACCAATAATGAATTTCCTTTATAATGCGTTCCGACACCAATTTGCCACAAAACGCAAACAATCTGAGTGGCCTTACGGGAACTACAGGCCGCAATGACCTTTTGAACTACATATCTGCTGTGTTTGATTGGTTCATGGACGGACTTTAATCAAAACATGGCATTGTGGGAATGTGTTTTCCCTCTAAAATCGTGTCAGCACCTCTTCATTTTAATTGTCGTGGTTTTTATGACCTTTTGTTTGCAGGAGATATCAATTCCCGTGGTGGTCAAGCGGTGACCACGTGCTCTTATGCAGGGAACGTGAACATGATATTGACATCCGACTACAAATGTACAAATTAGAGGGAAGATGACTAGACTCAACAGCACAATGAAAAGTTAAAAGAATAATTTGAAGATCACACACATAGCGTTCCTATCAAGTAATTCGGAGCGTAATAACGTAGATGTAACTATTAACCTTTGAACTAGGGTGAGTGGTCAAAATATTACAGAGCTAATCAGGTTTGTTCGGACAGCTTACGTCGTCTGTCCATGGAAGTATGACCATCAGGTTGTTAACGTTGTAAGCTTGGATCAACGGCTTTATTCTTTGTACCAGCCAAAACGAAACAAATTGTATTAATTAGAGTGTATGTGTATTATCAGGGTTGTAGAATTAGTTTGAATACAGATATTTTAATGTTTTAAGTCCTTTTGAAAGATATTGCATATGCATCATCATTGATATCGAAATGAATAATTTGTGGTCATTTATGGCGTCACGATGACGTCATACTTGTCGCTGTTTTAAGTATGAGACAATATGGAAGCCAACATGTGAAGTCGATACACTAAAATACTACTGACTGACTGGCCTGTCTCAAAGCTACTTCTTGTAGGTATGCATCACTGCATACCTCTTATGACAGTACAGTAAAACCTCGATATAATGACCTTCGTTTCGTTTGGACCCCGCGAATAGCCAACATATTTCAAGGTCCCCCTTGTTTTCTTCTTAAACCATGTGTTCTTTCCCTCAGTTTATAGCCAAAACATCTTTGTAGCGCCGACATTTCTTCGGGAAATTGTGTCAGTATAACGAGGTTTTACTGCACATTTATATATAAATTAGCAGAATTTAAATTGGTAACTTGAAAAAAACTACAACAGTTAGTTGATGATAACATTCCTGTAAATCGTATCGGCAACAAGTAGAAAGTTAAATATTTTGGACAACACAAACATATAAGTAGTATACATGTAACTCAATATATATATATAGGACTAGCTGACGTATAAAGGATATAACAGGGTTGAGGCAAATTACAGCTGGTCAGTACATAAACATTGTAGAGTATACAGGTAACTCACACCTGGTCAGAACATAAACACTGTAGATTATACAGGTAACTCATACCTGGTCAGTACATACACATTTTAGATTATACAGGTAACTCATATCTGGTCAGTACATAAACATTGTAGATTACACATGTATCTAACACCTTGTCAGTACATAAATATTGTAGAATATATAGGTAACTCACACCTGGTCAGTACATAAATATTGTACATTATACAGGTAACTCATACCTGGTCAGTACATAAACATTGTACATTATACAGGTTACTCATACCTGGTCAGTACATAAACATTGTAAATTATATAGGTAACTCATACCTGGTCAGTACATAAACATTGTAGATTAAATAGGTAACTCATACCTGGTAAGTACATAAACATTGTAGATTATACAGGTAACTCATATCTGGTCAGTACATAAACATTGTAGATTATACAGGTAACTCACACCTAGTCAGTACAGAAACATTGTAAATTATACAGGTAACTCACACCTGGTCAGTACAGAAACATTGTAGATTATACAGGTAACTCACACCTGGTCAGTATATAAACATTGTAGATTATACAGGTAACTCACACCTAGTCAGTACAGAAACATTGTAAATTATACAGGTAACTCACACCTGGTCAGTACATAAATATTGTATATTATACAGGTAACTAACACCTGGTCAGTACATAAACATTGTAAATTATACAGGTAACTCACACCTGGTCAGTACATAAACATTGTAGATTATAAAGGAAACTCATACATGGTCAGTACATAATCATTGTAGATTATACAGGTAACTCATATCTGGTCGGTACATAAACATTGTAGATTATACAGGTATCTAACACCTTGTCAGTACTTAAATATTGTAGATTATACAGGTAACTCACACCTAGTCAGTACAGAAACATTGTAAATTATACAGGTAAATCACACCTGGTCAGTACATAAACATCGTAAATTATACAGGTAACTCATACCTGGTCAGTACATAAACATTGTAAAATATACAGGTAACTCACACCTGGTCAGTACATACACATTGTAGATTATACAGGTAACTCATATCTGGTCAGTACATAAACATTGTAGTACCTGGTCAGTACATAAACATTGTAAATTATACAGGTAACTCATACCTGGTCAGTACATAAACATTGTACAATATACAGGTAACTCACACCTGGTCAGTACATAAACATTGTAGATGATACAGGTAACTCATTCATGGTCAGTACATAAACATTGTAGATTATACAGGTAACTCATATCTGCTCAGTACATAAACATTGTAGATTATACAGGTATCTAACACCTTGTCAGTACTTAAATATTGTAGATTATACAGGTAACTCACACCTGGTCAGTACATAATCATTGTAGATTATACAGGTAACTCATTCATGGTCAGTACAAAAACATTGTAGATTATACAGGTAACTCATATCTGGTCAGTACATAAACATTGTAGATTATACAGCTAACTCATACCTGGTCAGGTCATAAACATTGTAGATTATACAGGTAACTCATTCATGGGCAGTACAAAAACATTGTAGATTATACAGGTAACTCATATCTGCTCAGTACATAAACATTGTAGATTATACAGGTAACTCAAACCTGGTCAGTATATAAACATTGTAAATTATATAGGTAACTCATGCCTGGTCAGTACATAATCATTGTAGATTATACAGGTAACTTACAACTGGTCAGTACATAAACATTGTAGATTACACAGGTATCCAACACCTTGTCAGTACATAAATATTGTAAATTATATAGGTAACTCATGCCTGGTCAGTACATAATCATTGTAGATTATACAGGAAACTCATTCATGGTCAGTACATAAACATTGTAGATGATACAGGTAACTCATTCATGGTCAGTACATAAACATTGTAGATTATACAGGTAATTCATATCTGGTCAGTACATAAACATTGTAGATTATACAGGTAACTCATATCTGGTCAGTACATAAATATTGTAGATTATACAGGTAACTCACACCTGGTCAGTACATAAACATTGTAGATTACACAGGTATCTAACACCTTGTCAGTACATAAATATTGTAGATTATACAGGTAACTTACACCTGGTCAGTACATAAACACTGTAGATGATACAGGTAACTCATTCATGGTCAGTACATAAACACTGTAGATTATACAGGTAACTCATATCTGGTCAGTACATAAATATTGTAGATTATACAGGTAACTCACACCTGGTCAGTATATAAACATTGTAGATTATACAGGTAACTCACAACTGGTCAGTATATAAACACTGTAGATTATACAGGTAACTTACACCTGGTCAGTACATAAACATTGTAGATTATACAGGTAATTCATATCTGGTCAGTACATAAACATTGTAGATTATACAGGTATCTAACACCTTGTCAGTACATAAATATTGTAAATTATACAGGTAACTCACACCTGGTCAGTACATACATATTGTAGATTATACAGGTAACTCATACCTGGTCAGTATATAAACATTGTAGATTATACAGGTAACTCATGCCTGGTCAGTTGTAGATTATACAGGTAACTTACACCTGGTCAGTACATAAACATTGTAAATTATACAGGTAACTTACACCTGGTCAGTACATAAATATTGTAGATTATACAGGTAACTCATACCTGGTCAGTATATAAACATTGTAGATTATACAGGTAACTCATACCTGGTCAGTATATAAACATTGTAGATTATACAGGTAACTCACACCTGGTCACTACATGAACATTGTAGATTATACAGGTAACTCATACCTGGTCAGTATATAAACATTGTAGATTATACAGGTAACTCATGCCTGGTCAGTTGTAGATTATACAGGTAACTTACACCTGGTCAGTACATAAATATTGTAGATTATACAGGTAACTCACCCCTGGTCAGTATATAAACATTGTAGATTATACAGGTAACTCACAACTGGACAGTATATAAACACTGTAGATTATACAGGTAACTTACACCTGGTCAGTACATAAATATTGTAGATTATACAGGTAACTCACACATGGTCAGTATATAAACATTGTAGATTATACAGGTAACTCACACCTGGTCAGTACATAAATATTGTACATTATACAGGTAACTCACACCTGGTCAGTGCATAAACATTGTAGATTATACAGGTAACTCATACTTGGTCAGTACATAAACATTGTAAATTATACAGGTAACTCACATCTGGTCAGTACATAAACACTGTAAATTATACAGGTAACTCACACCTGGTCAGTACAGAAACATTGTAAATTATACAGGTAACTCATATCTGGTCAGTACATAAACATTGTAGATTACACAGGTATTTAACACCTTGTCAGTACATAAATAATGTAGATTATACAGGTAACTCATACCTGGTCAGTACGTAAACATTGTAGATTATACAGGTAACTCATACCTGGTCAGTACATCAACATTGTAGATTATACAGGTAACTCATACCTGGTCAGTACATAAAAATTGTAGATTATACAGGTAACTCATATCTGGTCAGTATATAAACATTGTAGATTATACAGGTAACTCACACCTGGTCAGTACATAGGTAACTCAT